AAAAATAATCTTTACTTCAATTACCACAGCTAGGGCAGTCTGCACATATGACAATAGCACATTCTATACACACATATTGCTTTTATTGACAGCACATGTATTTTGCTTTCCTGGATTTTTTGTAGAATATACTTGACATCTTACTAGTTTTGCTGTTTTGTCAGGAGATTCTTATTATATTATGCAATGTGTACTTAACAGAAACACAAAATATCAATAAAATAAATTATGAAGTTCTTAACATGTATTGTATGCTTAGAATAAACATCAACATTTTCATATCAGCTGTGTACTTGCCTGTAAAAACCTCAAAGATAACAGCAGAAATAGATTCTTATATGAACTACAATGAAAATACTAACAGACTGCTACAAAAAAGTAATCTTTGCTTCAACTGTCACACTTAAGGCAGTCTGCACACATGATAACTGCATGCTCAATGCATGTTTTGCTTATATCGATAGCATATGTACTTAGCTTTCCTTTCCTATGTGGCAGTCTTGTCACTTCTTTTTCTGTTTTGGTTTGGTTTTTGGTACTGAGAATTGAACTCAGGATGTCACACTTGAAGGTAGGCACTTGTGCCACCGAAATATATTCCCAGCTCCTCTTTTTCTGTTTTGTCAGGAGTGTCCTACCATTGTATAACATACACTTAGCAGGGAAATTAGGTATCAATAAAATAAAATATCAAATCTGGAATGAGTGCTTAGAACAGACATAAACATTTTTACATCAAGTGTTGGCCTTCTTATAAAACCTAACAGATAAAATCAAAAATAAAAACTTACATGAACTACAATGCAAATACAAACATTTACCACAGAAATAAGTTTTACTTCAACTGTCACACCCATCGCAGTCTTCATACATGACAACTGCATATTCCATACACAAGTACCCTTTACACTGACGGCATGTATGTTGTTGTCCTGTTATTGTAGTAGATTTTTGGGGTGCTGCAACTACCTGTTCCCCTGTCAACTCACCAATGTGTTCCACAATTTTTTTGCATAGTTCCCTGGGCAAGAACATTTTGTTTTTCCTCTGCTGCAAATGATCTCCCCTGAGTTTTAGTCTCAATCCAATAAGAAAATTTCTGCATGGTATTTTGCACATTTTATTTTCTTTGTAAATTATCAAACTATTTACGGATCAAGTAAAACAGAGCCATTTTAGCCAATGCTTTGTTTTTTGAGTAACATCATAGTCGCAGCATAATTCGGCAACAATATCTATTACACCTCGGTTCTGTTATAAAAGATTTTCATCTCAGGCTTTTGCTTTGTTGAGGTTTCCCTGTCAATATTTTCTCTTCATGATGCAATGTTGACATCAGCAGTACGAGTTTGTTTTTCTTTGTCATGTACAAGGCCAATGTTATATCTTTCTCCAAAAATTGTATTGTACAATTCTGCTTTGAAATTACAACATTTCATTTGGAATTTCTGCTTTGTTCCTGTGTGTAATTCCTGTGCTGATTAACTTGTGCTGTTAGCAAAGGTAGCATCAAGTGCACTGGGGACCTGGCCTAGATCTCCAATCTCCCAAATGAGTATCTGGCAAAGACTTAAATAAGTGAGACAAGTAGTACGATTTTAGGGCTCCAGGAGGATCAAAATTCTCTGCAGAGTTTGAGACCCTGGGGGCTAAGACAAGCAATGTCTCTGGGTAGCCCATATTTATGTAGAATTCAAATAAGGAAGAGGTAGGGGCTGGGGATTTAGCTCAGCGGCATAAGAACCTGCCTTGCAAGCAGGCAGTCGTGAGTTTGATACCTGGTACCGATAAAAATGAAAAAGACAAAATAAATAAAATAAAATAAGGAAGAGGTTAGAGTGGAAAATGCAAGAAACCTGAGCAAGACCTTGGGAGGAGGTTCAAGGATCCCTCCAAGAACAGACTATGATAATTTAGAAGAACTCTTCTAGGAGAAAGTCTCCAGGTGGCTTTCACCACAGGAGTGAAATGCCTGCAGTTACAATCTCTGTCTTATCGACTGGGGTTGGAGCCAGGTATCCACAGCTGTGGCCTATCTTACACTTTGAGATGTCTCTTGTTCTCAGTTTAGTTATGCCTCAGCCATGCCACAGCCTTGCATGTGTATTAGGCATCGAAGGCTCCAAAAAACTGGAAACTGGTAAGCCAACTGTGTAATGTCACATTCAATTTAGTTTGGGAGATGGGAGCAACAAGTCTGTTCACAATGTCATTTGGTTTATTACTATATGAATAAAGACCTGATGGCTGAGTCTTAGATAAACATCTAAATTTAAATAGGTCTTTGCATCTATAAGGGCATAAATTTTTATACAATATTTATGCTTTTCCATATGACTTTCACATTCTTACAGTTACTATGAGAAATCCCTGCTAAGTATAGCAGACATATAAATGCTTTTTGACTATGGCTATTGGTGCATATAGAACACTTAGTTTTTCAGCCTTTGTGTACATTATAGTTTGTGTCTTAGTGTTCCCCCAGAGCTTCAAAGAGTTATCAGGTAGTGGACTTTCCAGAGGTGGCTGAATCTAGGTTGTGATTGATTCATGGCCCAATACTGGCATTAAGGGAATGAGTCCTGTACCCTTCATAGGGCAGGTAGCCTGCTGGTATGGTTTGTGCCTAGATGTCGCCCAAATCCTCATGTAGTCATGGGGGCAGGCTTCTGGTAGCCTGCTGGTATGGTTTGTGCCTAGATGTCGCCCAAATCCTCATGTAGTCATGGGGGCAGGCTTCTAGAGTTTGTGATTGATTCATGGTCAAATGCTGACATTATGGGTGTGAGTCTACACTCACCCTAGAATGGGTAGCCTACATACAATATGAGGGATAGAAATCTTCTCTCTTTGCTCCTTCCTTTTGGTTCTTGTTGCTTTTGCTGTTTTCTGGCCACCATGAACTGTTGCCCTCTGCCATGTTCCACTCTGCCTTGGAACCAGCTGAGTATTAATTGAAATTTCCACAAACTATTGGCTAAATAAACCTTTCTTTCCTTAATTTTGGACATCAAGTGTTTTGTCTCAGCAACAAGAGAAAAGTAACCAACACACCTGCATATAAAATAAAGGACAGAAAGAGGATTGTCCTTCTCTTTTTTGTTTGTTGCTTTCCATTGTTTTCCATGAACTGTTGCCTGTAGAGCCAGCTGATTATGGACTCAAACCTCTACAGACTGTGAGTTAAGTAGACCTTTTCTCCCTTAACTCATAGGTATGGGGTATTTTTCTCAGCAATGAGAGAAAAGCAACAAGTCAGTGTATTTTACAGCCTCTTGTAGCATTTTGTCTGTTACAATTTCCAACACTGAAAGGGAGTGCTGGCATTCTGTCCAGTATGTTTCACCCCTGCCAAGATCCTCACTATATTTTTGCATTTAGTTCTAGCATTAAATGGTTCCATTGGTTGGGTGGTGATATTACAACATTTTGACTAGTCAGATATGTACTTACATTGCCATTTTGTCATCTGAATTTGAATCAAGGAGGTCTGCATCTCCTATGTCTATATCAGTCGATTCTTGTTCCATTTCACTGTCATAGGAACTTTGGCTCACACAGCCTATGCCATCATCATCACCATCATCATCTTACATATGCACCATCCTTCTGTTATGAAAGCATGTACTTTACCATAGTGGATCATCTTTATCATCCATGATTGGACAATCTGATGATTCACTTTCAACTGCCTCAAAACTTGCAAATCTAATTCATGTGCCATTGTACCAAGTTGTGTTCCTTCTACTAGAAAAACTAAAAGAAAGCTTAAAAAGAAATTCTGGGAAGGGTGTGGGTCTTTTGGACCCTCTGTGATGCTTGAATAAATATATATATAAAACCAACAAAATGTATAAAAATTCCATTTCATCACTTTTGCACAGGTGCATACACCTTGCAGTTTGCCATACCAAATGAGTAAACATATAGATTTCTTCCTATATCCCTCAGGGAAAGGTACTGAGATGCACAGTCAGCTACCATAAAGCTAAAGTCGGGTGTGGTGACTCATGCCTGTAATTCCAGCACTGGGGAGGCTGAGGCAGGAGGATCATTTCGAGTTCCAGGCCAGCCTAAGCTATAAAGTGAATTCAAGGCCAGTGTAAACTGCAGAGAGACCCTGTCTCAAAAAGAAAAAAAGAAAAAAAAATCCCTGCTAGATCTAGTTAAATTCCACTAGAAGTGGTAAATGATGTAATTAAGATTTCTGCTAATTATTACAAATTATACACAAGAATTGTGAGGTCGAGGCAGAAAACTGTGTTTGTAAAAAAAAAAAAATGGAAGTTAGGGGCTGGGGATTTAGTTCAGTGGCATAAGCGCCTGCCTTGCAAGCAGGCAGTTCTGAGTTTAATTCCTGGTACCAATCAAAAGGAAAAAGACCAAAAAAAAAAACCAAACAAAAAATTTAAAACAAATGGGAGTCAAATCCAAAGTACTGATTGATCTTATGTATCATTAATAGATTTATGAAAGATCAGTAGTGTTCTCATTGCTTTTTCCCATAAAATATTTCAATCTTACATGGATGAAATGAAAACAGCTCCACAGCACTTGTATGATTTCATTTTCTAGAGTTTAAGTCTGGAAATTACTTCAGTTCTTGTTTCCCAGCACATCTACTAAATACATCTAAAGGACAGGCATCACTTTGAAGCAAATCCACCACATTTCCATGATGGCGAACCGGTTTTCCTGGAGGGCGGGTGTGTGGGGCACACAAGACCCCCGGTGCGGTGTGGGGGAAGGGAGGGGACAGGAGGAGGACGGCGCCTGTTCTCGGGTAGGGGTCAGCTTCTGCGCCTCGGGCTTTGAATGTGGTGTCTTCTGGCTGTGCTAGAATTGGGATCCAGGCTTCTCCTGTGGTCTCCTTGGGTAGAAAGTGTCTAGGAAGGCGGCGCGGGGCGGAGGCCTCAGCATCCTATCTGCAGGGTTCTCCGAGGACTACACGGGGAGGGGGGTCCACTCGTTCGGGGGCGCTACGGGGCTTCGGGGACTCCGCGCAGGCGCCCTAGGCTGATCCGCATCTATTTTTGCGCCTAAACCAAGGTCATCTGCTAATCCCCGGTCCGCGCCCTGAGGGGGCGTCGCACACCTGCGGGCCCCGCGCGCTGGGCGGGGCCCGGCGGGGCGGCAGGGCGGTGTTGGGGTGCGTGCGTCACGGCAGGACCGCGGGGCTGCAGCCCACCGAACCCGGACCTCGCGGCCTGGCGGGCGGGGTCGCTCGCGAGCTGCGGCGGGCTACATTCATTCGCGCGGCCCCGCCTCCCGCCGGCTGCAGCGGCTCACGCGCCGCGTCTGGGAGAGTGCGAGGCCGAGGCTGAGCTGAGCCCCCCGCCCGCCGTCTCCCGACTCGGGCCTGCGCAGGCCAGGTGCGCGGTGCCTCCATCTTGGGAGCCCGCCCGCCCCCTCCGTGGCCCGCGCCTCGCAGCCGCCGCCGCCGCCGCTGCCGTCGGCGTCGCCGTCCCCGCTCCGGCCGCCCGCGGGGCCAGGTCCCCGGAGCTCTGACGCTTGCGCGCCCGTGGCCACCTCGGAACAGGTAGGCGCCCGTGGCCACCTCGGAACAGGTAGGCGCCCGGCCCCTCCCCCCGTTTGGGTCTTTTCGTTCCAAGCCAATTCGCTCCCAGCGCCGACGGCCTGCGCCTCGGGAGGCGCCAGGAGGATGCAGCCCTAAGCCCCGGGTGGTTCGCGACTCGCTCCGGATCCCATTTTCTCCTATATTGTCCTTGGAGAGGAACGGTGGAGCGGCGGAGCGTCTAGCCGGCGCTTCGGCCCGAGAAATTGGTGTGGGAGTCGGTTGTACGATAACCACCTGATGCAGGTTTCCTTCCCCGGGGAGCCTTTCACGCCCGGGACGGCTAAGCTCCAGGCAAAGGATATTTTGAGGGGGTTGGGGCTGGAGGGAGGTATTCTTGGAAGATTATCCAAGGGAACGTTTTCATTGTGATTCAGAACCTGTGGACGATTTGTCATTCTCCAGTTCCGGAGAATTTGATAATTCTTGCTTTAATTTTGTTGTCATGTAAATACTACTAAAGAACCGAATAGATTGTACCCTTGAGATTTTATCACAGCATTACAGGCAGGGATTAACATCTGGAATGGAGACTGTTGCATAATGCATACATTTGAGCCCTGGAGGGATTTCTTCAAAATGGATTTGAATTTAGTGTGCCGTAAGTTTTGATTTCTCGAATTTTGTGCATATCATAGGATGTATAGGTAGTCCATATAATTATATCTTGTTAACCTCGTTATGAAGCATTTACTAGGTGAAAGGCTTTCAGTGACAAAGATGGATGGAGCGGACGCAAATTTTATTTTATTTTATTTTTTGTCTTTTTGCTTTTTATCCGTACTGGGGATCGAACTCACGACTGCCTGCTTGCAAGGCAGGCGTTTGTGCTGCTGAGCTAAATCTCCAGCCCCCTTATTTTTTATTACTATTTTTAAATCTTTGCTTGTTTGGTTTAGAGGACAGAGAATGAGATGGTGAGAAACATCTGGGGAAAAGTCTATTCGTAACAAGACTTCCAGCCCAAAAAGAAATAAACGTTGTAGTGTTTCACAGGAAGCCCAGAGTTGTCATAGTGTGTGACAGTTTATGGTGAGGATTCATCTGGGAAATTTAGAAATATCGTATGTGAGTAACATTGACTTTTTCACGTGAGTGACATAAATTATGATCTTTTACCTGTGGGTTTTAGATCTTGGAAAGTTTCCAACTAGTCTGACTTTAGAAGTACTGTTCAAATAATTACAGATAGTATAATTTCTTTTAAAAAGGAAGAATATGCATCAAACAAAAGACTTAACTCTGATTTGGAGAAAACAAAATATGTAATAATTGTTTTGAGAGTATCATTTCTACATCTTTTTGAAGTTAATCTAAACTTTTTTCCTGTTGAGTCAGACTCACACTAACTCAACAAACACTGTACCATCTGTGGCAGAATGTTGTGCTGCCCAATCATGACACCTTCTATAGTGATGGTAGTGGAGGCAGAGGGCCCCTGGGTATTTTGAAAAGAGCCTCTAAGAATGACTGCTAGGAATTGCCAGGGAATTGTCTGGACTATATCCTAGGCCTATCGGGGTGTGGTGTTGAGATTATTTGTTGTTGCAAACCCAGTTTGAAGTTAAACAGAATGTTACATTGATTCCATTATAACTGTTACAGAGCTTCACTGACTTGGTACAAATGGTATCTTAATGACTTTGGAGGTGATTTGGTGTGGTTTTTATCTTTATGTGGCTTGAGATTTTGCACATTATTTTACCATTGATTGAGAAATTGAAAAGAAAAAAGCTAGTATTTTTCATTAGCTCTCACGTGATAGCCCTTTAGAAGCCTTATTTGTGTTAAATTCAGTCATTGCTTTAAAAAAAATGTGGAAAATTTACTGTTAAAGAGTAATTAAAAGAATTTAATATTCAGGCACTGCTGAATATCTGCCAAGGATTCTGAAGAAAGGATTGTTCATTGGGTTGGAAGTTAAAATCAACCTTCCTGTCCCTTTCATTTCTAAGATTTTATGATTCTAAGTAGAAAAGAGAAATGGAGTGACTGTTAAGGTATCTTTCACACTACACGTCAGTAGACTTTTGCAGGTTTATCTCTGAATTTAAGTTGGTATAGTGTTAGAGGGATATTTCATAACTTTGAAGACATTACTGAAGGTTGAATTCATGAAGGGGAAGGTGTGATGAGAAATAGAAGCTGATAATTTTACTCCAGACATCATAAGTATTGCATGAAATTTTAAGTTTGTGTATGAAAACCAAACGTTTATCAATTCTGTACACTGAACTGTTCATTCAGCTTAAGCTATGCTTTGGACTAGAAAGAATACCTGCAGTGTCTATATCTAAATATTTTAGTTTGTGAACATAGTTTGTTCCAGAAACATGATTGTAATGTACAGCACTTGTATATTAAAGGAAATTTCCCTATAAGATATAATGGAAACTCAAATGACTCATTCTACAACCTGAAAATAAGCATACAAACATGGCTACAATATTGTAATACAATACAATACGAAGTAATAAGGAACATACAAAAGACAAAGAAAAATAAATTAACCTGCACTTAGCTTAAAAAACCTAGTGGCCGGCGTCTGGCGTGAGAGACAAGAGGGTCATTGTGTAGACCAACTTTTACTGTCATTAATGGATTTGCTGCTATCACCTCAGTGGAGGTTTTTTTTTTTTATTGTCTTGCAACTTGAACAAGGAACTTGCTTTTGCTTCTTTTTGAAGATTTCTTGGAAATGTAACATTATATTGTTAAACAGATTCATTGCTCACACTGCCACAGCCTTATTTGAGTGGTGCTTTCCTACAAAATTTGCAGTTACCCACATTTTACACATCTCCCTAATGTCATTTGAGGTGAGGGATTCCTCCACCTTTTTCTTCCCCTCTTACACAGATGAGATCCCTTCAGTAACCTCTTGCTGTTAGGAGATAATCACCCACAGTCTTGCAGAGGAAGAGGGAGAGAGATGGAAAAGGAGGGAGAGAGAGATTAGAGGCAGGGGGAGATTGAGGAGGGAGAGACGAAGGAGGCAGGCAGAGAGAAACCATTAACCCAGTTATGATCATGTGACATTTGGCATCACAGCCTGTGTACTTGTAATTTACTAGAAATGTTTGTGTGTCTGGCAGAACACTCAGAGAACAAGTTATTCGCAATCCAAGTTTTACTCTTATATTTACAGTATATTGTATACATACAGGGTGTGCTGAAGAGGGATGTATTGAGTTTGGATGGACTTCACAAAATAATAGTTGAACAATAGACAAAGAGTTTGCCTTGGAGGTGTGGGACGTGAGGAGAAATATTCACAGCAAACACTAAAGTTTGAGTTAATGACTGGTATTGTTGGATAGCAGTGAAGTCAATTGAGTTGGCCCAGATCCCATGCTGGGTTGAAGCCTGGTTGTGATTAGAGATGTGTAGGGGTTTTGCTCTGTGGTGAAGAGAAGAGTTGTCAGTTTTTTTTTTTTTAAGATCATTTTTAGATCACTCTATTGGATCTTAAAGGCTAGATTGAAGTCATCAGGAACTCCCCCCCCCCCAAGAGTCTTAGAATCAGGAACTCTTATGATAATCTGCAAGATTCTGAATCAAGGTGGTGACACTGGTCAACAAAGTAAGGGTGGGGGGGAGACCCCCGAAGTAGAAAGGCAGCCTTTCAGATGGCAAGAGCTCTCTGTGACACGATGTCAGACAGATTGGGTTCCAGAGGGCATCAGAACCCTGTTACTTGTGTATCTGTGAACTTAAGCTTTCTTGAGGCATGGCTACTTTCTTTAGCTGTGAAATTAGTGAAAAATATTTTTTGTAAGCTTATTAGAAATAATGTATGTGGGAGACAAGGCCAGTGACTCCCCTTGAAGGCAAAATAATTACTGTGACTTTATTTGGAGACTTATTTCCTTACACTGACATGTAGAGAGCTGGCTATGATATTTCCTTCTGTCTTGAATTGGCTCTAAGCATTGCAAATAGGGCAAGCTGAGGTACTGGTATGTACTCTCTAAAGCCAACAAACAGTCCTGTTTCCTCGAATAGTGTTCTCAGGATATGAGCACAGTAGGATGTTAGAGTCAATAGCTCCAGAAATGTCAGCTGGGTATGAGCCTCAAGGTAAAGAGGCTATGACTCCCCAGGACACAAGAGTTTGCATATCGGAAACCCAAGCGACAGCCACCATAAAAAATTCAGCTGCTACCTTAATTAGATTATGTGAACTGATCTTTCTGCATATCTCTTTCACCTGGCTAGCCAGCTCAAGTTACTCATGTAATTCCTACCCTCCTCACTGTCACTCATCCCTGAGCTACCACCTTCTTCACAAGATAATAAATTCTGGGAGTGGCTTAGGATCAAGGCCTTTGTCAGCACATCCTTTCGGGGATTGGATTTAGGACCCCTTGGCTGCCTTTAATTTGGAATATGTCATGGTATCCTTATTCTTTAATGGTTGCATTAGTGGTGGTAGATTGGAATTAATTTGTTGGGATTACAGTGATGTCTCAATGGGATTACAAATACAACTTGTTGGATTGTGAGGAAAATTAAATAGAGGATTACAATACTTGGGATTACTGTTATATATACAATTCACTGCCTGCCAGGTGACAAAAGTGTTTAATAATAGTGCAGCCAAATTTTGTTTGTAATGATAGTAAATGATTGTGACCCTAAGGGAAAGGAATCATTGAGTGTAGGGTGCTTCCAACAGGTTTTGGCATGCAGTTTCCACCGGAGATGCTTCATTAACATAAGAAAAGAGGAAGAAGAAGTGGGCTTGAAGAGGGAGAAAAGTTAATTTTGGATCTGTTTTAGTTTTGGATTGCTGGGGGAGAATCCAGGTAGAGACAGGGATACTGTCAAATTGATGTGGGCTGTTACAAATGTATGAATGACCTGGAGAGATTTAGGCATTAGTACAGATTTGGAAGCTACTGGTGGATATAGTTGGTTCATACAGCCATTAGACAAGATAACATTCCTAACAACCATCATAAATACTGTGTATTAAAATGTGAAAGGTCT